CTGCCTCTGACTTAAAACAATAAGATCCTGGTCCTGGATCTGAAATGGACTTAGTGTCTTACCAGCTGCCTAATCTTGGAAAAGTCCCTTACTTTTACTAAGTCCCATTTTTGTCACTTACAAGAATATGCATTACCTTCTTTTACATTGCTGTTGTTAGTACTAAATAAATTTGTGTACATGACAGTGTGTATATTTCATGGCCAGAAAAATATAAGCAATGACATGACACATGTGCATGTGCAATACAGGTGCTCTTCCCAGCATATCACAAACTACATCAGTGACTATAAACAAATGCTGACACTTCTCTGCCTTTCTTGTTTATAGAAAGAAAAGACAAGAATAGAGGTTTCATTTACAGTGTTCTAACATTCTGATTACTCATTTTCAGAAAAAATAATGCTTCCTTAAGCTCCAGGATACTAGGGATATTTGTTTGTTTTTTACACTGTTATAAACTGGGTGCCTAGAAAAGTGACTGGCACATTCTAAGTGCCCAATACATATCTGTTGAATGAATGAATGAATGAATGAATGAAGTAAACGGTGTGTAATGTGGCACTATATATATGTTAAGAATAAAAAAGAGGGCCTCCCCGGTGGCGCAGCGGTTGAGTGCTGGGTTGCGAAGCTGCCCGCAGCCTCTGCAGCGCTGGTTCGATCCCCGGCTGCTCCCCTCCCACCAGAGGAGGGTCCCACATGGCGCACAGACCTCTCCTGCCGCCTGCTGCTCTCCTCAGCAGTGTACTTTGGTCCTTCTGCCTGCTCTGCTCCCCGCTCTGGCTCTGGTGAATTCTCTCACCCTCCCACGCTTCTGACTGTACCCAGTGCTTGTATAAATAAATAAATAAATCTTAAAAAAAAAAAAAAAACACACATTAAAAAAAAGAATAAAAAAGAACAGGAAAGTTAAAGTTAATGTCATAAATCACTGTTTTTTTAGCACTGTGGCTAAAAAGTACATGTTTAAGTCCAAATTCAAAAGATGTGTCTTAACTAAGAGGAAGTTCTCTAACAGAAACTAGGAAGAAAGCATCTCTGTATGTAACATAAAAGTTTTTAAAATATAAAATTTACCTGAAGCATCACAAAATCTGGTGTCAATATTTAATACTATCCACAATAGTGTCAGCATGACACTAGTAAATTAAATGAGTGAAGAGTGTTCAGGGAAAACCTGTCAAACAGGAGAAATTTCTTACTTTCTTTTTTTTTTTTTTCTGACTTCATTCATTTATTCATGTCATCTTTTTTTTTTTAAATAATAAATTTTATTTTTATATTCCCCCATACAACTGCACATGCCCCATTCTGACCCCAATCCCTCCCCTCCCAGCCCTCACCCCCAAAAAGTGTCTCTGGTTCATAGTTTTTTGTTGATTTTGATTTTCACTTTCTTATAGTTATTCATTTTCCTGATCCCTTATTTAAGTTTTCTAGATTCCTGCTATGAGTGAGACCATCCAGTATTTTTCTTTTTCTTTTTGGCTTATTTCGCTGAGCATGATCCCTTCCAGCGCCATCCATGTTGCTGCAAATTGTATGTGTTTATCTTTTTTGAATGCTGAGTAATATTCCATGGTATATATGCACCACATCTTCTTGATCCAATCATCTATTTTTGGGCATTTGGGCTGTTTCCAAAGCTTAGCTATTGTAAATAGTGCTGCTATAAACATAGGGGTGCAGGTGTTCTTTGGAATTGATGTTTCTGTGTCCTTTGGATAAATACCTAGGAGTGGAATTACTTTCTTAAAACAGTAGCCTTTACTCAACTTCAGAAAACTTAGTCATGAAAGGTTGCTAGTTCCAGTTATCTGAAACTTCCCATTAGAGAGAGAAGATGGAAATGTAGACTTTAAATGAAATCTTCCGATCTTCAAGTGCTGGCAATTAATTCATATTTATATATGCTCTCTTAACATGAAGAAAATAGGTATATGAAATAAGGTCAAAGAAAGGATGTTTACGAAGTGACAACACTACAACAAATTCTACTCTTAGTCCCACTAATGTAATCTCTATGCAAAACCATATCTCAATAATTTATACTACATTTTATAAATTAAAAAGAAGCAATAAATATTTATTGAAGTTCTATTATACACCAGGAACTGAGCCAAGTGTTAGAATTACTGTATGATGGTAAATATGAGATAGCCATAAAAAGTCCAGGAGCTTTCAAACATAGAAAAAATGTTGCAGGTACATGATTCTTTCTCAGAAATGTATGAAACAACTGCATGACTACCAGGAGTGAAATAGCAGTATATCTCTTAAATACATGCTCAATTCTTAGGCACAGAATTGGAGTAGTGGTATTGTTTTTATTGGTTTAAGAAATCAAATAACTAAATGATCATTTCTAAGGCCTGAAGTGCAAGAAAATGTTCTTTTAAAAAAAAATTCTTCTTTATCTAATATAATAAAGATTTCAGGACTAGGAGAGTTCTGCATCAGATCAAATCAAGATGGCCCTACTAGACCAGTCTTCTAGAGAGCTATCAGGTCAGATAATGACAATTCTCTAGGATCAAGTCTTTGTAGCATATACTTCCCCATTCTGTCCTTTGCCTTCCAGTCAGCTGGTTTTTACCATGATGGCAGGTTTGGGGTCTTTCAAGGCTAACTTAGAGTGGAGAGGCAGGAAAGATATAAGCAACCTCAAATACTGCATAATTCCTGTTCTAACAAGATTCATTCACTTTTCTTGAATAAGTGTTCCCTGGATTGCTCTAAGAATTTTGTTTTTAAGATTTTATTTATTTTTATACAAGAACGGGGGTACAGGCCAGATGTGCGGGAGGGTAAAAGGATTCAACAGAGACAGAGTGTGGAACAGAACAGGCAGACTGACGAAATACACTGCTGAGGGGAGCAGCGGGTGAGGCAGGAGATGTCTGCTTCACCATGTGGGATTCTCCCTGGCCGGCCCAGATGGAACCCATGCTGCAGAGGCTGCAGACAGCTTCACAGCATGGTGCTCAACAGCCTGCGCCACCAGGGAGGCCCTAATCTAAGATTTTTGATAACTTTCAGCATTCTGAAAAGTGAATCTGACTTTTGCCAGTTTTTCCCTGACATTTATAAAGGAGAGAATTTACAGAGGCATTTATTCCACAATTTTTGCTGAAATCACTGCAATGATCTAAATTTTATCTAGAAGTAGATTGCTTATTTAATCATAAGTAGCATAGCTTACCAGTAGCACATTAAGGGATAGGTACAACTTATTAGAATTACTTATACTTGAATACTCAATTCCTTTAAAATGTAATTTTAAAATTTGCTTCATTGAATTAAGTTATTAACTTTAACTGCAGTAACACTGGTATATACCCATCGGGTATATATTGTATTCACCACCAACTCACCCATACTCTACAACCACAGGTCATTATGCTTCCCTCCCTCACTGTTCTTTCCCCTTCCTTCCCTCTCTCCCATTTTGTATCTCAGTTCTGTAATTAGCTATTAAAGGTTAGTTTTTCAGCTTGTCTTTATCTGAATATTAATTCAGTTGCTTTATATTCCACATATTACACTATCCAATATTGATCTTTCTCCCTCTGATTTACTTCACTTAGCATTATTCTTTCAATCTGTTGCTGTAAATGGTGTGAGTTTAAATTTTGATTGCTGAGTAGTATTCCTTTGTGTTATTTATGCCTTATAATATCTTGTTTTACTAGTGTTATTTTATAATATCACATCTCACAATGCAACCATAATTTTTAACAACCAAACAGTAATATCAGGAGACAGCACATTGAGATTAGGATGTTAACATATAAAATGTTATGAATTAGAACAATTAATACAATTTGTTTTACTTCCATAACAGCTTTATTAGTAAAGTACTAATTACACCTGGTTTTCTTATCCACTTAAAAGTTTCAATATTTGGAAAGAATGTTCTAAATTTTTCTATAAAATTCAATTATTTAATTAAATTGAAATAAACCTTTAAAGTTACATGAAATATATCAATGTGCATAGTTTTCTAAATTACTTACATACTTATACTATAAAGTTTTATGCTTTCAAATTATTTTTTTTCTTTTTCTTAAGATATAGATTAAAAATCTTTTACATCTTTTTCACATGTGGCTTTATAATGAATTTTAACTTAAAAATTTTAAGGTAACTATTAAGATTTTTAGATAATAAAAATTTCTGAAATATAAATTGTTATTAATATAGTAATAACCTGCAACCAGTAAATATTTTCTGTGTAACATAATGACTTCATGTTCCATTATTTTACTTATATTTCCATTTTCCATCTGATACATGAATTTGTTTTTAATTGACCAGAAGGTAATGGGATGATTTTTTACATTTGCTATATTTTAAGATTATTAATATTAGAAATACCTTAATATGTACATTTAAAAATTATTTACCTAATTTTCACCCAAAATATTTTATTAATAAAAACAAGTACTGATTATGAAAATATCCCAATGCAGCATTTTTTCTAAAAACTTTAATTGAAGAAAAATTAAAGAATTGAAAGAAAACCTTTGAATGACTACTGGCATGGTAAACTTCTAATATTAATGGAATGTAAAGGGTCCCTTACAATATTTTCATTCTCTTATGTAGTAAATTAAATACAAAACATATTCCTATTCAATATAACCAGGATAAGGGCAAACCAGTAACAAATACCCCTTTTTTTACATATATTAACCAATTCTACAAGTTTGTTGATTGTTTCAATGTGAAACTCTTCCTGAACTCTCTGAAGGAAACTTCATAATTTTTTATGGAAAAATATTCAAGGAAGAAAATAACAATTTTGAGTCACTGAAATCCCCTCCTTATTTGTCTTCTTTCCCAAGTCAGAGTTAATTAGAGGTCTCCCTTCTCTGCCCAAAAACCCTACTTCACTGAGCAAAAAATATGCCCAATAAATGTTCAGTCATGTGTGACATTTAACATGATGTGTACTCAAGTAGTTTAAGTTGTGGGGAAAATTCATAAAAGCTTACCCCATTTTTTGGAAAAGCAATCCATCCCAGGTCCCCCATGACAGTACGTGAATCCAGTAAATTCACTGAAAGAGAAAGGAGAAAATTTAGTGAAATAATTTAAAATGTGTTATTAAAAGTATACATTGCTTTATGTAATTGAAATGAGAATAATCATTCATTATGATGCAAGAGAACAAATGGTTTTGAATAAACATTTGAAGACAATTACAGCGAAGAAATATAAACATGCCATTACCCTAAGTGCTTTTTTAGTCAAACAAAAATAAATGAAAAGAATATTAAGAAAAAGAAAATAATGAAAGGAAAGTTCACAAAAGCCATAAGGACAATGCCACTTTTTTAAAGGCTCTAGGTTTGAGGATTAAGCTGCTGCTATAAAATTGAGGTTAACTGTATTGTTTTCTTCTGGAAAGCTAGTATGATGCAATTAACAAATAATTTACATTAAATAGAAATAAACTATTCCCAGGCCTGTAATATTTTATTCTGATTTAACCAAAATCTGTAATCCAAATTGCAAATTTAATTAAAAAACAAGTCTATACACATTTAACCAAGCCAAGGAAACCAGCAGCTCTCAGAGTTGTTGCTACTTAAGAGTCCATGGAATCCCCAAAGAAGTGCTTCTTATAAGACTATCAGCTAAATTTTTGAAAGGCAGAACTCAATTACAACTGGATATCTTAAAATATTTGGAAATCCCCCAAATGGAAGTCTGAATATTGTCACTGCAAAAAGGAAGGCATGGATAAGCACATATATGTGTGTCTGTGTGTGTGCAAGCACACACAGACACACACCCCCATTCACACATGATATTTATATTTCTAAAGGTTCATCCACTGTTTGCTGGAAACCAAACTATCTTATAAGGTGCATTTAATCAAAATGCTTTAGACTTGGATCATAGCTCATCTTTCCAACCTCCTATGAGTTAAGCCAAACTGATTTACCATTGCACAAGTCAACCACATTGAAAGAGCAAGCTTATGGACCCAAAAGAAAATAACTACATTATGCCAAGTCAGAGGTACTGAAGCTTCCTTAAAATGCATTCAAGAGCCAATATCTTGAAATGTCACTAATTCTAAAAGGATAATTCTACCTGAAATCCTAAGCATAGGATACTAATGAATAACAGTTGAGACGCTGAGTAATAGGTTAGAATAATTTTATAAGGGAATATAAAATAAAATTATGACTGAAGAAACTGGGATCACAATTGAAATAAAATTTTCTATACCCACAGAAAGTGTGTGCATTTAACCCTTGTTATCCATTTCGTTTCATACAACATATACAACCAAATCTTATAAATGAACAGTTTATAATAGTAACATTAAAATAAGTCAACAACTTAATTTTAAAAAAAAAAGACTGAAACATCTTCACAGGTCCACATCTCTTCAACTGTATGTTACAACACCATGCCCACCACCAAAATGCCCATGTTCTTCCACCATTGTCTACTGAGCTACATTTTCTCATTGCTCCCCTCCAATCCTTCCCACCCTCTCTGCTAACTTCAGTTCTATAGTCAGATTTCTAAGATTTGTTTTAGATTAGTTTGTCTGTTCCTTTGTTTCTCTATACTTCACATGAGTGAAAACATCTGAATTTTGTCTTTCTCCTTCTGACTTATTTTGCTTAGCATAAACTCCTCCAGCTGCATCTATGTTGCCACAATTGGCAAGATTTCATCTTTTTCTATAGTTGACTAGTAGTCCATTGTGTCTATATACCTCATCTGTCATAGGAGCACTTAGATTGTTTCCATAACTTCGCTATTGTAACAGTGCTATAATGAACTTAGGAGTGCATATATTCCTTTAATTTTGTGTTTTTGCATCTTTCAGGCGAGACCTTGGAGTCAAAATGCTAGATTATGCAGTGAATCTATTTTAAAACCTTTGAGAACTCTCCATACTCTTTTTCAATAGGGACTGGACCAATCTACATTCCCAACAAAAGTGTACAAGGATTCCCTTCTCTCTCTCTACACCTCTACCAACACTTGTTTCTGGTCTTTTTGGCATGGTCCTTTCTCATAGGAGCATGGCAGTGGCTCCTTGTGGTTGTTTTTCAATTCCCTGATGACAAGTAATGATAACCAGTTTTCCATGTGCCTTTTGTTAACCTATATATCTTCTTTAGAAAAATGTTTATTTAAACATTATAAACTGTGATAAAATATTTGCTAGTGACATATCTGATAAAGGTCTAAAATCCAGAATATATAAGATACTCTCAAAAGTCAAAGTTGAATAATTGTGTTCCATATCATTTATGATTAAGGAAATATAAATTAAAGTTACTATGAGTATCAATCTGTACTTATAAGAACTTTTGTCATTTACAACTCCTTTGACAAAGGAGCAAAGAATATTCAGTGGAACGTGGACAGTTTGTTCAATAAATGGTGCTGGGAAAACTGGCCACCACATGCAAAAGAATGAAACTAGACCACTACCTCTCACCGTGCACAAAAATCAACTCAAAATGGATAAAAGACCTGGACATAAGACCTGAAACCATAAAATATATAGAAGAAAATACAGGTAAAATACTGTGAGACATGCATCTCAGTAACATCTTTTGAAAAGCTTCTGTACAGCAAAAGAGGCATTAACCAAAACAAAGAGACACCCTGATCGGAAAAAAAACTTTTGCACTCATTTAACTGATAAGAGACTGATCACAAAGATATACAAAAAAATCAAATGACTCAACAAAAACAAAGTAAACAATCCAGTCAAGAAATGGACAGAAGGGCCTTCCCGGTGGCACAGTGGTTGAGCGCTGGGCTGCGAAGCTGCCTGCAGCCTCTGTAGCGCCGGTTCGATCCCTGGCCGCCAGCCAGGGTCCCACATGGCGCGTAGGCCTCTCCTGCCGCCCGATGCTCTCCTCAGCAGTGTACTTCGTCAGTCTGCCTGTTCTGCTCTCCACTCTGGCTCTGGTGATTTCTCTCACCCTCCCGTGCTTCTGACTGTACCCAGTGCTTGTATAAATAAATAAATAAATTTTTAAAGAAAGAAAAGAAAAGAAATGGGCAGAAGAACATAAAAGACACTTCTCCAAAGAGGAAATGCAAATGGCTAATAGGCATATTAAAAAATGTTCAACATCCTTTATAATCAGGGAAATGCAAGTCAAAATGCAAATCAAAGCCACATTGAGATACCACCTTACACCAGTAAGAATGGCACGTATCAAAAAAATATTAGCAACAGCAGATGTTGTTGAGGATGTGGCGAAAAAGGAACTCTCCTACATTGCTGGTGGGAGTGCAAACTGGTCCAACCACTATGGAAAGCTGTCTGGAGGTTCCTCAGTCTACTAAAAATGGAGCTACCATATGACCCAGCAATTCCACCCGTAGGGATCTACCAAAAAGACACAAAAACCTTGATTCAAAAGAATACCTGTACCCCTATGTTTATTGCATAACTATTTATAATAGGTAAAATCTGGAAACAACCCAAATGTCCAAAAATAGATGACTGAATCAGTGGTATATATGTAGTATATATGCACAATGGAATACTATTCAGCAATCAAAAAAGATAAACTAATGTCATTCGCAGTAACTTGGATGAAGCTAGAAGGAATTATGCTCAATGAAATAAGTCAGAAGGAAAAAGAAAAATATTGGATGGTTTCACTTATAGGAAGAATATAGGGGAACCAAATATGACATTAGGAGAAAAAATAACAATACAAAACACAACACAACAAAACAAAAAAAAAAAAAACAGACAATTATAAACCACATACATCCTGCAGGGGAGGAGGAGGGAGAGGGATTAAGGGAAGGAGGGAGGAACACAGGGAACTGTGGTGATGGTGCATGGGTACATTGGTGAAGGAAATTCTGTGGAGACTATACCTGAGGTGGGGGCGGGGGATGCAAACATTGTTTAAAAATGAACAATGTGGGCCTCCTTGGAGGCGCAGCGGTTGAGCACTGGGTTGCGAAGCTGCACGCAGCCTCTGCATTGCCTGTTCGATCCCCGGCTACCGGGGGAGGGTCCCACATGGCACACAGACCTCTCCTGCCTCACCTGCTGCTCCCCTCAGCAGTGTACTTCTGTCAGTCTGCCTGCTCTGCTCTCCCCTCTGGCTCTGGTGAATTCTCTTATCCTCCCGTGCTTCTGACTGTACCCAGTTCTTGTATAAATAAATAAATAAATAAATAAATAAATAAATAAATCTTTAAAAAAAGAAATGAACAATGATGTAAAAAATATATAAATAAAAAGAATATTTAAAAAAAAGAAAAATGTTTGTTTAGATCTTCAGTACATTTCTGAAAAGTTATTATTTAAAACAACAAAAACAAAAAAACACAAACCAATCCCAAGCTTTTCTACTATACACTAACCCACCAAATCTACCAGCACTCCACTATGTCCAATTTTTCAGTTATATCCATACTCTTTTCTTTTTTCCTCTGTTGCTGACTTTTTCTGGTTTCCATGGGAATAAAGCTATATTAAACTTAAATGTCCTTGTCCTCATTTCAGTTTTTCTGGGACACTAGGGCTATGTCTAGACATGACTAAATGCCAGGGGAGTGCAGAACCTAAATTGTTATGTTTATTCATCTTAATGGTTCAGTTGATTCACCTTTGATATTGAGCAGTATATCTGTGTAGACTAGATAAAGTATATCTGTGTAGACTAGATAAAGTAGAACAAATCATCAAGCTAAAGGTCTTCTACTATGATGGCATACAAACTGAACTTAATCCTCAATGGCAAACTATTATGCATAGGAATTCTAGGAATTCATATCTAGCCTCCTATGAGAAATACAGCAATCTTTATAGATGTCTTAATATGTAGATCTTAAAATATCCATTATTACCAACAGAATTCCAGATCTTTGTAAAATGTTGTTTCCTCATTTGAATTAATTTTAAATTACTATCTTTAACATATATTTTGGCATCTATAATGGTCTATATATGCACAAACACACACACCATTTATTTATCTATATTTATCTATGAAAGCAAATGAATAAACTCAAATACTAGCATAGCTATTAATATATTTTTTA